CAAAAAATGTATAAAGACATGAAGAATGTGACAGAGAGGTTAGTGAAAACGAAAAAATTTCGATTGACAAGTTAGTCGGTATTCTCGGCACAGCAATTAACGAGACTTGAACAGCGGAACTTTGTAACTGAACAAGAAATTATGTCTTTTTATAGAATTAAAGAGAAAGTATTATCACATAAAATGAAGCAACTTAAACAACTTACATTGAGAGAAATGTTTAATAAAGTAAACAAATAAATATTAAGCTTTTTTTTTTTTTGTTAATTTTGATACCTTTTAGATCATAATTGTTCTTTATTTCATAAACTACGGTTTCATATTTTTAATTTTAGAATTTCTGCATGCCATCTTACGAGATTTAAACTGATGATCTATAATCCGGAATCGCCGAAGTCCGGATTAACGACTTTTGACTGTATATGGTAAGGGCCGGTTACAGAGCTGGTGTGGCAGAATTTTTAGAATTTAGTGACACACACAGCAACAAAATGTAGAAATGGCAAAACTTTCAGAATTTAGAGCAGGCATCGGAAGCAGAATTTAGAAAGGCACTAGTAAGCAAAATTTAGGATCTACACAGAGAAGTTATATAGAATATTCCACTTGATTGCACTAGGTGGGAAAATGCCTAGCGTCAGACCAGTGTTTGATGCCTTAAGACGTATTAGATGAATTTTTTAAATTGCCAGTTTTCAATTTCTTTATTAATCAAAAAATTCCTTTCTATAATGCCTGTCCATGTGATAAGATTGGAAGCATTTTTAATATTTTCCATACTTTTGTCTAGTGAAAAGTAGAGAAAATAAAGGGAAGATAAGCATGTTATGAAAAAGATTCTACTATCAGAAGTAAAACATTCAAGTATTATGTTTTCGTTGTTCTTCCAGATGCTATCCAAAAAGTAAGAAATTCATTGCAAACGTTCTGAAAAATACATCCATTATGTGTTAATACCATAGTGACCTTTTTCATTTTGTCACATTTTTCTAAAATCTTATGGAATCGTGGGTTTATAAATCTTGCCTTCAAATCTTTCTAAACTTTCCAAGTTGCAATGTCTAACGTCCCGAAGAAAAAATACCCCTACCAGTTTTGTAACAGCAAACAGCCAGAAATATTTTGAAAAAAAATCAGACGAAAAAAGTGTAAAATTAATTAATTTTACAGAGAAAACTGATGCATATTGAGAATTCGGAATACTCTGAGACAATTACATGAGAAAACTGAATATCATGAAAAAATTTGAAAAGATATTTTTAAATTAATATATTACTTTTTAAATATACCACTATTTTAATGAAATTTATCAATGTTACAATGTTTAAAAAAAATCGTCGAAAAATTCCCAGCTCTTGGAATTTAAAATTTTCTATAGAAACTGATCTTAAAAATCGCCAAAATGCTGATAAGTCGCCAAACTTAGATCCGTTCAATAAAAGAATTCGCATCCCCAAAAGCGAAAAATTGTTTAAGAGCTCTCCTTATTAGAAAAAGTGAAATAATTTCGAAATACTTGTTTCACTTCTTGCTCAGAAACTCGAGTATCCCACCATTTATATTAGAAAGAGGAACAAATCATAACCCATTCAAATAAGCATATTTATCAGTGAATCGCCAAAAATATACCTCCAAACTGCTAATTCACACTCAAAATGGCAGTCGTAAAAACAAAGAAATTCAACATGATAAAAATTAAGGACCTTCTGCCGATTTTGGCCAAAAATTAAGGACTTTTAAGGACCGTACGAACCCCGATTGCTTCAACATTCTGCTTTCCGGAACACAGTGATACTTGATCGTGATCGTATTTAGATTTTTAAGCAAAAACTTCAAAAAGTCAAGCCTTCTCTATTAATACATATCAATGTGAAATTGCCCCTGCACATAACATAATAACATAAAATTAAGAACAAATTGTAAAATATTTTGAAAATGTATCATTTTAAAACCAAATAATAAAAATCAACATTGTATTTTCCTACATGAACATTGTCCCATTTTCAGCCCAGAAGGGCTATTAATTTCAAAACAGCATTTCACACCGATTCACTTTTCAAACTGTTTCCACCAAATATTACATTTGAAGACACTAAATAACGAAGAATCAGCATGAATGTTTTTTGCATTGTGAAAAGCCATCAAATTTTGAATAAAGTAAGTCTTCCAACTGGCAAATTTTGTAAAACTTTCAACAATTTTGATTAAAGAACGCTGCTCTACACAAGAATATTTATTTATGAAAAACACAATTTTAAAGTGAATGGCAATACTGTATGGAAAAAAAAAACCCTTATCTCCAGGGCACGAGGCTGTACATCAGAAATTCTACAGATATGGTGTTTTAAATATTTTGCAACATTGCTGTTAAATTGAATTTTGTGTTTTAACATATTTAATAAAGATAATGCACAAAATGTTAAAAAAAAGCCTCTTTGGACTTAATATAATTTTCTTTTCCAAATGTACTCAAATTGTGCCACGTACTCAACAAACAGTAAAACTGTAAACTTCATCAATACAAGCAAGTATAGTACAATCAAATCTTTTGAGGATTTCAGATCAAATTTCACAGCACTACGATAACGTTTTCTACACAAAAGAGAAAAACCATGTTCAAAGATCATGCCAATACCATGTATCGAAATAATCGAACATTCTAAGGCAGAATTTTAATTATGGGACATTTATATAATTGTTTACTGGATACATATTAGCATACATTTTTATATGCATGCTAAAACACACATTCATCTTGCTCAGAAAGTTGCTTCAATTAATAAAATTACACTGGGGATCTACATTATGCACAGAAATCAATACGGCACAATGAAAATTGTGTTTAACCTAGATATTTCTTTAGAATTAACATGAAAATCATGATAAAAGATGAAACAAGCTGTGAAATAGATAACACTACTTCAATGTCACATGATTACTTTTCTGACAATTTTTTAAAGGAAACTGGCTTGCATTTACTTTACATATGGGGAACATGCAAGTTGAACTCATTTGCCTGGATAAACTTCCAGCAATCAGCAATCTTAAGCACTCAGCCAATGGTTTGACAATTGCCTAGTAAAAAGCCATACACTAACAGTATTGCACAAGAGATCCAACACTAAAAATGTACACACATTCGAGTGATCTAAAGACAATATTATGAATTAGGATTCTCCCTAACACTGCATAAAGCTGACTGGATATTTATTATAATACAGTAACAAAAATCCTACCCATTTAAACCAAAACTCATTATCCAGATAAAAGTTAATACTAAAACAAAAGATACTCCTATAGTCCTGCATATGAATTATACCTGCCCTGACATAGTACTGCTTAGATTTTTTAAGAACCTTTCTACTATCTGAGTAGAAAGGTTCTTTAAGTACTTCTACTATCTATCTTCTAAGCTACTCATTTCAGAATTATAAAAATTATTAAAATGTTCAATGATCTGCAAATACGCAGTATGGCGAAAAACCGCTAAAATTTTGACTATAAAATAGTCTAACATAACAAAAATTCCAATCACATTTAACTCTTTCGCATCGAGAGAGGACAAAATCTCAATTTCCCAAACATCGAAAACGCCCGTATCTAAGAATTTCTCCTGGAATGCTTTTCCTTCCCCCATGACAAGTTGAATAATACAGCGCTAACAATAGCCTTACTTAAGTAAAGCGAGAACTTCTTTCTTCGACGCTTTGACACTGGGATTGCAACTTCGGGCATCAAAAGCTAAACACTGACAGTAAGCAAAGGAAAGGAAGGAACAAAGGAAACAAGGAAATTGACAACAAAGAATGATTGACGTGTGATTTAACAACACCTGAAAGCAATGAGTAATGCAGTAACGTGATGGGAGAAAGCACTGGGTAGGAAATTTTCAGGCGTTTCGGACGTCGGGCCGATGTCTGAATGCTAGGGCGCTTTGGGCGACTTCGATGCGAAAGAGTTAACATCAAGAATGCTGCTCTCAAAAGAGTATTTAAGAAAAATACAATTTTGCTTAGGCCATGCTTTAGTTAGTTGGCAGCAATTAAAAAATGGCAGATTTTTTGCTGGTTTAAACGAATTGTTTCAAATCCATTATATACTTTTCTGCACGATTTTTACGAAATATTTTATTAAAGTTTTGAAAATCACGAAATGTAAAATTGCCTCAGGAATACAAAACAGTACACCTCATAGAGATAGCATTAACAGGAAATTTTACAAACTATAGGAATCACATGATTGTTGCTTGTTTATTTACGTAAATAAATAAGCAACAATAATCAACTCTTTGTCAAACACATTATAGCATCACTATTCCTGTTACGTTTTTATGTTACAAGTTAAATTCAGTGCAATCCTGTAATTCACGTACAACACTGCAGCATAATACAGCTTTTAACACAATAAGTTTCAAGTACTGAATATATAATCAATGGCTTCTACTGAAAATGTAATTAAAATCTCAACTATGTTAGAAAATCAGCATTTCTTGCCACTGAGACCTTGGTAAAAGCAAAGGAAAATGCTAATCCTACACAAAATGTTATATACTTTCAGATGCCAAAATGTCATTTTATCTGCCCTCAAAGGCCTAAAAAGTACTTTTTAAGCAGAGCATATATATTTCGGGGATTACAACTTCCTAATTCTCTTTAAAACAGTTATTAAATTTTACACTTAATAACCCAATGTTTACAGGATGATTCTATAACTGCATGATAATAAGGATATTTGTTACATCAGCAAAGATGATTACAAGTTAATTTGCTTCCATCCTATAACTGTGTGTCACCAATATTTAAAAATTATAAATTCAGAACTTTGAGAGGGAGGCTACTTTTTGAGGTTTCGTAAATTAGATGATTACAAGTTAATTTGCTTCCATCCTATAACGTGTGCCATCAATATTTAAAAATTCTAAATTCAGAACTTTGAGAGGGAGGCTATTTTTTTAGGTTTCGTAAATAACATTTATTTAATATTATGGAAGAAAACATTCATACTTTTAAATTACTTTATTCACATAATACAACTATTTACATATCTTGGATGGAGCTACCTACCACTAAACATTATAGCCACCATAAATATAACATTTTTATCTGCCAATATTTGAGTAACAAAAATCAAACAATCAATTATATTAAACTACACTAATAATAAAACTAAAGAAACCTTGATATTACTCAAGACTAGATAATTTAAAATAAAACAAACAATACAAATATCACTAAGTTTAAAACTGTTGCCGTGTTACTGGGACTATAAAAACACGTCAGTAGCTCCATCTCACAATTCATTATCATCTCATATTAAAATTTTTTAAACAATTCATGATAAATTTTCAAGAAAATTCTCACTCAATATCGTTGTTTTCTATAGTTTTTGCATAGCCATTAAATTTTCAAGAAATTTATCACTCAATATCGTTGCTTTCTATAGTTTTTGCACTTACAGCCATTGGACAACCATAAAAGTCAATATGTTTTCTAACTCCTCTTTCACCTTTCATGAGCTTCTTGCAATAAGGGCACGGAATTCTCTCAGATTTTGTAGTGTTTTCCTCCAGCATGTTTTGATTTTCATTATCATTTTTCTGAGAACGTTCTTTTGCAACATTTGACAAAGGGCTTGAGTGCACTGAAGTAATAACTGGAAGAACGGGAACACAGGAAATATCTTCCATCACATCAGCAGTTTGAAACTGAAGCCCTAAACAAACTCTTTTAGATACATGTCTATTCATTGTACTTTTGTCATAGAAGATCTTGAAGCAAAATGGACAAACAGCTTGCTTAGGACTACCTCTAAAAATGCCAATTTGCCGAGAACTTTTGAATTGCCTGAGTGCATCAGCTTGCATTTTTTTATATCTGGCATGCTGATTCCACCACAAAGTCTTTCGACCTGTAAGAAAAAATTTAACTACATTTACTGAAATGAAAAATATAACTTAATTTTTTCCTTCCTATCATTCACTAATGACACCACACACTTAAGAATACATCTTAACAATAATCCTCAAAATTTAAGTTCTGACCATAGCGATATTTAAAGGGTAGGTTAGGTTACCATTCAAACTGTTGCACTGCACATATAAAAAAATCCTCAAAGTGAAAAGCTAAAAATATATTCGTAGCCAGCAAAAAGCATTAACTTCAAATAATAAAATTAAGTACTAATACTAACCAGAAATGAGCTTCTATATTCATCATTTCCAACCTAATGAATAGAAAGGAGGCTTAATGTCAATACCTCAAATAAAAAAAGTGGATTAACTTAAGTTCTGTGGTGCCATATATGAAGTACAGAAAGCAAAAAGAATAAAGAGAAAATGTGCTACTGCATTAAAAAATATTCCTGTTACAATTAATAAAAGGGAACAATTTAGTTTGTTCGTTAGATATTTCTTAAATAATTTTTTTAGTTCCATTTAAGTATATTTAAGAGATCATAAAAATCATGTAAAAATTATCCTAGTATCTAAGGACAAAAGCAAACATGATTTTTTATACTCTTGTAATTTCCTAACTCATTTCTAGTTGAATCCAGCAAATTTTTAGCAGTTTTTAAAAATATATAAAAATCCAGTTGAAGTATCCTTTTGAACATTTTCAATAAGATTCCTTAAAAGAAACTGCTAACAGTTGTCATATGGCAGAAAAATGACAATGGACTAAGATATTACCTCAACTGGATTTCTGTCTGGATATCAGTGCATGTTCATAAATTTTTAAAAAATAAATTTATAATTAACCCGACATTAACACAAAATTTGGGTGTCATTTTTTTCCTAAGAAAAAAAAATCGAAAACACTAGAATTATACTGAAAAATAGAGATGTCTGTAAAGTAAAAAAGGAAGCTTAAAAAAATTATTCATATGCTCAAATAAATGAACAGTTAATATATGTTTTTGAATTAGCAATTAAAATTTGTTATTATTTAAACATTTTTATTAAATTTTGTGAGAATTACATTGCAGCTAATAAAGAGGTTACATGACAAATGCATTTTAATTACATTAAAAAGGTTTAAGCAAAGCATACTTACTTGCAATATTACTTGACAGGATTTTCATACTTCTACCTGCAAATAGACTTAAAAAAACTACAAGATTTCATTTTGTTTATCACTTGCATCTGTTTTTCTCTCTCTAAACTAAACATATTGATGTTGATGGGTTTAAATCAAAACAATTGTTTAAATAACCTTGCAAATGTTAGTATATTTTGCTAATATTAAGGCGTAAAATCTTGGAGATTACAAAACTGTAAAATTTATCGCTACTCTGTGGGGTTTACTTGCATCGTATTTAATTAATTGAAATTTTCAGCTCTTAATATAGCTGACTTTTTTTTTATAAAATGGACTGCCAACTATTATTTTGTAATTGATGACTGTGAAAAAAATCTATACTAATGTAGTTTTCAAAGATATACTTATTAAAAAATTTTTTGCATCTAAGTTACAACAGCAATCGAGTTGACAATACTTAAAACTGGCTTATTTTAAAATGCTAAAAATACCTAAATTTGCACAGGCCTGTGGACAAATATGCATTTTTTAATGCTAGTTACATATTTCAGATGACCAGTTCAGGGCACATTCTGAAAATTTGCATCAAGTATTTATTGTCTTATTGAAATTAATATCATACATTCAATGCAATTTATGCCCTTGAAGATTTATTTTAATAAGGATATGTGGATTTTAACTAAAGTTTGGCAAATCTGTCTTTAGATTTTCTTTGGGATATCTAAAAAATTGATTTCAGGCCTAATTTTTAAAAAAGTGAATAGCTTGAAATGTGCCTATTTTTTGCTTCTAGGTGGAAAAAATGGAAAACAAATCAGGAATTTTTTATTACATGCTTAATGCAACAAACATACAAAATGCTGGCTACCACATGTTTACAAAGGCTTCACTGTAACTCCACAAACTGCAATACAATAAGAGTGAGCCTAGTTTCATATTTACTTGACTCACTAATTAGTTTTTAATACAAAGTGATTTAATACAAATGCTTCAATACTTTATCAATACTCACCACATAATATATAATACAAAAAAAAAAAGGAATTTAATAAGAAGCTAACTCACCATAATATTGAAAATCCATGCTCTTGAAATCCAAACAGCCACTAGGAACAGTTTCAGAAGTCTTCCATTTTCATACTGCAGGAATGGTTCATGTACATGGCTTTTGGCATCTCATAAATTACTTGATTCAAAGTTCTCACGGAGATACATTACAGTTCGCAAGAGAACATGCCCACACAGGTAATTTTTATTTCATGATAAAATTTTTTGTTTACAAGTAACTGCCAGCAAAAGTGCAACTTTAACAACTGACAGCTATGACTAGACACAATTTGCATATTTAACACTGCAACAGTTTAAATGGTCCCAATAACATGACAATACTCAAGGATTGAACATAGCATACCAATACCTGAACAGCATTGGTATTAACCATATGATGCATAAATACTTAATCATTATTTTAATTTAATTCAGATTAATATTTAATACTGTTACCTTAAGATTAACTTAACTAACTTACATACTAACTTAACTTAGTACCTCAAATTAATCTAAACCTATTTCTTAGCTATGCCTAAATAACATTTTAATTACTAATTTAATTACATCATGTCAGCCAAACTCCCTCAATATCATATGATTAATCTTTAATTAAGGGAATTTGACTCAACCAGTCCAATATATAAATTAGCTCACAAATAATACTCAAAATTGGCTCAATGTTTCTAAAAATACAACAGATTACGAAAATAGCATTTTTTTTTCTTCAATTCAATAACAATTAACAATTTTACAAAATTTGTGTTAATATTTCTGCCGAAAGATTTCATAAAATATTTCTAATTATTGCCAATTCTGAGCATTAAAGGAAGCTGGTAACTTTAAAAATGCCGATGGGAGGAAAATTTTAAGCAAAAAATCAGCTGCACTCTAAAGAAAAAAAATCAAGATTGCTCTTTAAATGCAACAGAAAAAACAAATTACCCTTCAAAAACAAATACAGCTAATTATGAAAAAAATTTCCTCTCATCATCAAAATTAGTCAATAATCCACAACACTTTTAAAAGGAAAAATTTGTTACCTTGTGGTTGTGAATCATGTGGCACAAGGGCACTATTGTCCTGGTAATTACTTGGTCCAGGTATGGATGCTACGCCCGACTGGTCCATGTACATCATCATGGACCTTTCTGAGCCATGAGAGGGGCCAGGAACAGGTGAAATAGGAGGGTCATCAAATGAGAGTATTTGAGGCTTTATGTCTGGAAATAAATCATGTATTAGTTATACTATTTTTAATAAATATTGTTCGCATCATAAAAACTCATTCATGAAGCTAACAAAAAGAGAGGCTAAAACTGTGAACTCATTCCAATATCATACACATGCAAAAATTCACCATTTATGAATTTGACCACCAGTGTCAATTTCTAGCAATTATCAAGACAAATGTAGCTGACTGGCACTTTCACAATGTAGGTTCCTGTATTTTTATCAGCATATCATTCAATACACTTCCTCAAATATTTTCACCTTCTATTTAACCACATTACTTTTATACAATATATTAATACTGAAGAGTCCATATATTTAAGTATAGAATTTACTTTGTTTTTAATATACAAAAATTACTTAATACTTTATAATACCCCCAGAATTACTAAAAGAGGTCCAAAATTGGCTGAAGTGCAGGATCGCCCACTTATTTGTTTGGTGCTTTTTAGTTTTACAGTTTGGCGAGTAAGAAGAATAGGATTTTTGTCAATTTTCTTTTTAAGTGAAAATAGGTCGATGTGTACATGGATACCAAGTATGTGCAATTCTTAAAAACGCACCAAGTAGTGGGCGATTCTGCACTTTCTCCCCAAGATCTTTCTCTAATGATGAATACTGACATACAGTAAACCTGCCAGTACAGGACTAAAGAACAAAACTACTACAAAACTAATACAGTTAAAATAATGGTTTAAGAGGAAAATACCTATCATAACTAAATGAAATAAGATGGCTCTTAAAAAAATATAATTTATATGCATTTTCCCAGTATTTTCCAATTTTATAACAGTTGTACATATGTTCATCCCCTTATCTAAAAACTACTTCAGAATTTAAACATACACAGTGTTAGATCAAATAATTATTCAATGCTCAAGTCACAGAAGAAATATTATAAAATCCTAAAATTTTAATATTTATTTTTCACAATTAATGGTGAAAACGAAAAGATAAAACAAAATGGTAATTTCAAAGCTTTCCACATATTAACAGCTAATAAGCATACATTTAGCTTTAACTTTGGCTACGATAAATTGTAACTCAATGCTTCAAGAACTTATTCTGCAAGCTAATATTATTTACCAGCTTAACAATACCTGGCAAATCGATAAAAGCTTTATATATTTCATCATTTAAAAGCTTTACATATTACATCATTTAAAAGCTTTATATATTACATCATTCAAAATTCTTATTCTGTGTATTTGACACAGAATACAAAAACTGTATAGCCCATCAAAACGATTACAAATCTTGCACACAATATCTCCTCCTTTATCAGTCCATGCACGTGAACTGAGAGTTTAGATTTTTAATTAATTTCAGTTTTAAATTGCTTAAAAAATTCCTTTTAAAAATACCTGTTTTTACTTTAAATTTAAATAATACAAAAACATTTTTACATTTTCAAGATTACAATTTAAAACCAAATCCACATTTACTCTTAATCAAACACCCTTTCAAACAAAGCAGAATTCACCTTAATACAAAAAAAAAAAAAGGGTTACATAAGGACTTACATGGGGACTCACACGGTTTGATTTAATTTACTAAAATAAAGACTTTATTATAAATATAAAAAGTTTAGTTTTTTAGATCATTTTTTTAGAGATAAACTACTTGGCCATGCTGTAATTATTTTCGTTCACAAATTTTTAAAACAATGTCACACACGAATGAACATACCCACCTTGATTAACTTCCAATTTCGCCAAGAACAGCCTTTTTATAAATTCGTCTCTCATGTCGACAGTGAGAATCAATACTCTGCATACACAGTTTCCATATATCTAATTCATTTATAGGATCAATAATGTAGAAGACTTTAACCGTATTCCGAATGAAATTTAACTTTCGCTCATCCAAGGGCAAATAGTTTCTGACTCCTCTACAATTAGAATCTCTCATTTCTTTGGGAGAAAACAAGCTCCTTGCCAAATTAACAGCAAATTGTCGACTATTTTGACTACGACGATAGATCATACTTAACTCAGTCTCGCTTAAGTATAATGTGGGCTCTTCCTTGATAGCAGATGGCATCAATTGCAGTACGGTTTCATCATGTCCAATGGCAGGCACATCTGTCGACCAAAAAAGCAAGTGTCAGTGCAATTCAATAAAGCAGATGCAAACAAACTTTATTCATCTCAAACGCCTAATATTCCATCTGCTCTATTAAAGCACTGACACTTCCTGCCATTAAGACTAATACAATTAAATTACATATTTACCTTGTGGACTGTCTGGCCCCTGAAGATTGGAACCTAATGAATCAGATGGTATAGATGCAGGAACTAATGCTTGGCTAACACTATCTGTGCTACTCATAGACCTCCTTGATATTTCTAAGCCACTTACAGATGGAAGAGTGATGGGCCCCGTGCTATTTTGACTATTGGAAGGAACCTATAATAAAATAATTACAGAATTTTATTAACAGCAACAAAGGATTTTACCTTAAAAAGACCAGTCTTAAAAATGTTTAAAAAAAAAAACCTAGTCTTAACAGTGGAATTCAATAAAATTATTTATAATCTTGAATATGTACCATTTAATAAATTTGAAGCTACTGCTCCATACCTTTATACTCAATACAATAAATCTATAAAACATGATATACTTACATTGTCTGTAGTTAATGTTTGTTCTAATAACTTAGACGGTTCTACTTCGAACTCATTTTCATCACCAGATGCTTGTTCTTCAACCTGAGGCTCTTGAGAGATGGACAGATGGGATTTTGAAAATGTATTTACACTGTTCGATGAATGAATGGGCACCTGAGATTGTGAGTTAGATGAAACTGGACCGCCACCCGAACGAATATCACTTGTGGCCTCCATTGATGCATCACCAGAGAGTTCTTCAATTTCTGGAGAGTCTGGTTCTTTGATTTTCGCTGCAACTCCCTCATCATCACTCCGATTAGAGTCACTTAAAGACCGTTTCCGAGGTCTCCCTCTTTTTCTTTTACCTTGCAATGGCGGTGTATCTGTCCTTTGAGCTGAGGGAGTTATAGGCGTAGGCGTTGACACAGACTGTTGTGTTATTTCTTGTTGCACTATCCCAGACGCTTGGCGATTTTCCCCCGTTACTTCCGCCAAACCTTTTACTTTGAGCGTCTCGGCGGTTTTTAGAAGTGCGGATAGTTGATCATGTGAAACATTAACTTCTCCTCTGTACATAAAATCGATTATGGCTTTGAGGTCACTATACCTCATGTCTTTCATTATCACAATAGGATGCTTGCAGGGATTTTCTAAAAATAGACTCTGGAAGAATGGACTGCAAGCTGAGAGCACCATTTTATGTGCCTTTAGGCTAAGCCCATCACAGGCTAATGTAACGTCCACAAGAGCTTCTGTTGAAAGCAGGTTTTCGAAAACCTGTAGCATATTTGTCGTGTGGTTGTTCCATTTTAAACAAAACTGTTGTGACATCGTAGCACAGATGAGATGACAATGACTAGTGAAAAACTGGAAAAAAAAAAAAAAAATCATTACTTGCTGAATCGTCCGTTAAAAAGTAAAATATGTTAAATAAGTACAAACAAAAAGTTTTTCTTCATCAACTAGCCAACCAAGACACATATCCGCAATGCATAGAATCGTTCGGTATAATCAAAATAAAAGGACACAAAATGAATACATAAACCGCTGCACATGATTACATCGCACTGCATAACCGAAACTTCGATTTATTAGCCGCTACTTAAGTTCTACGTCACTATCATACGCATGTAATACATATAGAATAAAAAAAAAATTTAATTTAAAAAAAAATCATTTTTATAAATTGAATTTGTAGGAAAAGATACTCACAAAAAAATATGAAATTTCGTGTATTCTTACCGAGCGATTTTATGCGTATTTACACCTCGGTATTTTATGTTCAAATGACGAATATTGTACATATCCGAGCTAAGAGGAGTCAGTACGGGGTTTCAAATCTACGCACACGGACTCCCTTTTCAACCAATCGCAACCGTCGAGAAAGAATCCAGAGTGACGTAAATAAAAGAATTTTTCTGATAGGTTAAGCATAGAGAACTTATACTATCTCGTTGTTCTACACCGGGTTACCAACTTTGGCGCATATTCGTCATGCTAATCATGTATAGCTTAATTACATAATTCAACTTCTGCTTTTGAGCGGTAACTGCATCTCCATTTAACTTCTTTTTAATGTTTCCGCTGTTGTAAATGAAATTTTACAATTCGTATTGTCTTTGATCAGTCATTCTTTTAGTTCTTTTCATTAAGACATAATTCTGAACGCGATGTTCACTAATAAGGGTAATAATATGTTTCTAATCAAAGATAGTAATTATTAAACTCGTTATTTAATACAGAAAATATTTAACATAGGTATACAGTTAAAAACAGGATTTTGGATTACTACTTAATCCGTTCGAAGCTTATTTGAATTCGTATTCACCTCATCTATGAGAAAGATTCCTTTTTCCTTCTTTTATTTTTTTCCTGAATGGAAGTTTCAAATAGTGAGTTAATAACTCCGAATGTGATTTTGTTTGTTGTTGTTCTTAAAAATTTTCATATTAATAATTAAAGTCAGGGAGCAACATATTTTAGGAATGATGATATGTTTAAGCACTATTTAGTTAAAATGAATGCAAACATATATTTTAATTTTTAAATTGTCTTAAATCAAAAATGCTTAACTAGTTTACCGAAATATAATATTTAAAATCAGTGTTGCCGAAAGATTTTTTTTCAGTACATGAAAAAGCATCATTATTTAGAAATAATTTAAGTTAAATAAATAAATAAAATCTGGATCTAAAAAAAATGCTGCCTTTATTTTGGTGTTTTTTTAAAAACAAATCACAGAAGAAAATTAAAAATTATTACTTTCGAAAAATTCTATTTAATATAAATTAAATAAATACTAAAAAATTAAATAAAAAAATATAAAAAATCTGAAGGGTTTCAGATTTTAAAATTACGTCAAATGGGGCGTTTTTTTTAACGTTTTGTGTGCTACCTTTATTTATTAAATATCATGTTCTCTGCGCACTTAAAGCCATAAAAATTCAGCTTCAACAACAATATCGGCAAAATAATTCTACAATGAAGCATATCTTTAGAATTTCCGATACACAGTTCCGCGCGCTGGAGATAATTTTTTTTTTTTTTTTTTTTTTTTTTTTTTTTTTCGTAGAGTGTTGCTATTGCTCGCTTTGAAATCGTTGAGTTTGTTACTCAAAAATTCGTTAAAGTTTTACAAAATATGAAATCAATAATAAAACAAATTCCAAATTTCAAATTTGGTCTTCCACATGCCCGTATTCGTAGGAGGGTTACGTCATTCAAAATTCGATGGCTCTATGTATTGTATAAAAATGTTTTATCACAATGCGAGAAACAGACATACATTTATGCCGATTTTTCATTATTTAATTTCTTCAAATATAATGCAGGATTCTAACATTTGGTGGCAACAGTTTGAAAAGTGATTTGCCGTTTATAATGATTCAACGCAAAATCGCAAAGCGAAAACAATAGTCTCTCAGGGACAAGCCCCTTTGGACTAAATAGTGCTTAAACATGTCATCATTCCTAAAATATGTTGCTCCCTGACTTTAATTATTAATATGAAAAATTTTAAGAACAACAACAAACAAAATCATATTCGAAATTATTAACTCACTATTTGAAACTTCCATTCAGGAAAAAATAAAAGAAGAAAAAAGGAATCTTTCTCATAGGAGAGGTGAATACGAATTCAAATGAGCTTCGAACGGATTAACTAATCGAAAATCCTGTTTTTAACCGTATGCCTGTATTAAATATTTTCTGTATTAAATAACGAGTTTAATAATATAACCGTCATAAAAATGTTTGAAGCATAATTAAATTGATTTTAATTTCAGTAACAAAACTTTTTTTTAAATTAAGCATTTTAAATTCTATTTGAAAACGTTACTCAATGTGTTTAAGCAAATCTGAAAAAAAAAAAAGAAAATCATTCATATTGTACATTAAAAGCAGTATCTGACATAAAAAGAACAGCTTAATTATTTCATTATAAAGAAAGTGAGGTGAAAATTAATTTTATTACTTGGAAGTCACGCATGGGGGGGGGAATCATATCCTGGAGGAGATATGGAAATAAATCACATTTCTGTCGATCTTAGCTTTCAATTCTTTTAATTTACAGTTAGAATCATATAGTCAAAAGAACAACTTTCTCTTAATCTACAGATTTCTACATATTCGTTAATTAAATTAAAAGTAAGGTTTAATTCATTTTATTATACTTTTATGCATGTAGTAGGCCACTGGGATGATTAATGCAGTAAAGTGAAGACAAATGCTTGGCGATGTGCAATATAGTATAATCGTGAGACATAACATCGCAAAAAATGGTAAAAAGACATTTTTAATGGAGGAAGAAATCTAGCCTTATTGGTTGCGAAAATGGTTAAGAAAAATTTTAATTTATTTACAAAACAAAGTTAATATCGTTAAAAAATTCTAGAAACTAAAGATTTGATTCTTACAAAGATCTGTAAGAATTTATCTTAAGCAATTTTACAAATATAAGTTGTTGATCAGCAGGAAAATTTAATGATTTAGTAGTCATAACTTAAACTGGCTGGACATAGGAGTAGTATTTAATTCTCTTCTTATAGATAAATTTGCTAAGACACACCAGGCGCAATTGCGAGAGGTCCGAAGTTAAGGTTCTAGTGAGAGCATTGTTGGTTTTTCATATTCTTTGCTTCAAAAAATGCTTAAACAGACTCTACCACAGTGGCACTCTATAACGTGGGGGACGATAATTTATCACCACCTGGGTTTGACGAATGGGTCCCTTTCTTTCTCCCCAGTCGCCTTTTGAGTGGTGGAGAATGTAGGGAATGTCTTTTGCCACACGCCACGAGGCAAGCGTTCCTGACCCGAAGCCCTAGTCCAGTTTAACAAAATAAGAACATAGCATTAACAATAACATTAAAGAAACCGTAAACGATAAAGTTAAAAAAAAAACAAGTCGAGTTAAAAATGACGTCGAAGAAGTTTCTCATCAATGAGCAAAGTGGAGGTCGTCAGGTCATTATTGGTCCATAGAATGTGAGAGGAGCACATGGGTCGTCAGGTGGTCGCCCATCCACGTCCTGACAGCGCACAGTGCTGTTGGAAATGATGTAACTTGGAATTTAATCAGACAATGCGTAGCTACTTCACATAAAAGGAAGTCTTTTCAGAGCCAAACAAGGAGGAAGGATAAACAATTAAGGCTGGAATTAAAGAAAAATGATGGAGTTAAACTAATCATTCATTTTTACAAATAAATTACATATTTTTTTCAAACTTAGAGGCATTTTAGTTGATCATAGTGCTCAGAGAAAAGCCTAACACATTTAGCAATGTTAGCAAAGCGACGATTTCCCTTATCTGTCTAAGTACAGTCATCAGTTCAGGAATAACCTTGAAGTCACTCAGATTAACTGCTTCGGCTGAAGAACTATGTGAAGTGGATTTATTAACAGAATTATTCTTGGCAGAGTTCCTTTTAGGCTGATTTTCGATGCGAGAGGTATTAGCTGCACCAGGGCAGGCTTGGGACTTTTTAGAGTACTTCTTAAAATATTCGCAGGCACGATATGAACCCACATGTGGACCAAGGTAGTTACAGTTAAGTTAGGGGGAGGTTTTTTTTTATTTTTTTTTTTTTTAAGTCACATTGAGTCGAGATTCGAGATGTGATTTTTGTCCCATTTTAAGCAGCGAGGATGAAGCTTGCAATTTTGCAACACTGGGATAAGTTCTTAGCTTTGAATTTCTCGACTGTAATAACAAAGTGTAGCAGCCGGTCTATGGAGAATATCTCATTAACATTAGCAGTCGGAGCTAGTTGGACTTGGAAGATAGGAATCAATGCTTCGGTGTTGAAATTTCTGAACTGAGCTACTTTGTAAATTTGGAAATTAAGAACACTGAGTGCACTTGTGAATTTGGAAATTAAGGGCACTGAGTGCGACCGCCTCTCAGCTGCCCTTTGGTGACAATTTTAATGGGAGAATCAATCTTATGCTTCATAAGAAAATAGCCAATAGATTTACAGTTGAGTTAGTCCACAATTAAGTTACAGCCATTTATTGTTTTGGGAATAATTCTTAAACAATACGTATGAAATTTTCCGATAAATTTAACTTAAGGCTTTTCAGAACCATTTTTTGGTGAAGTAAAATCTTCGGCATCAGTATGCATAGCATTTTTACTCCTTCCTTGTGGTGTAGTTGGAGGTGTGTCAAGTTAGCGTTTGGGAAGTCTAGAGTTCGAATCTCACGGAGAACAGTATCCTGGCTTTTCATGATTCCTGTTTCGAAAACAATTAAAAGACTCTACAAATTAACAAGATCGTATTCCAAAAAGAAGGCCTGACAAATCATGCATTGCATGCACATCGAAATTACATATATGCCAAATTAAATATTTAAAACGAATCGCATAAAGATTTATGCGAAAGATTTGTTTTTTTTTTTAATACAGTTTTTTTTTTTTTTTTTTTTTTTTTTTTTTTCCCTCTCAATTCCCCTGCCCCAAAATGCCTTTTGCAATACGCAAAGAAAATGTAAATGAGAAATTTAAAAACTGTCCACCCAAACCGAAGATAGTTAATTTACTTCTATACGCAAATCAGTACCTAATATGGTATTAAGAATTAAAATTTTTCTTCATAGATTTTATGAAGGAAAGCGAAATCTTTCTTTTTCTTCCCTCACTTAAATTAATCTATGCTATTCGGCTATTATATTTAGCAGTTCAGATAACTACTTTAAAAGCTTTTGGATTATCAAATACTCATTTCTAAACAAAGTCAGATTTCGGAGTACTAAGCCCCCAACTATTTGAGTACTAACAGAATAAATCTTTTTTCATGTAGGTTCCACAGAAAAGGAAAAGATAAAAAGAAAAGAAGGGGGAAAAAAAGATTTTTTTCAAA